CAGAATTTCAATATACTCCTTCCATCTTTGTTTGGTCTTTGAATTGGTTGCATTGGCATTGGCATATGCCAAACATATCAGTTTGAGGTTGGAACCTCCTTCTGAGTTCAGAGATCTTTTGGAAGATACTCCTTTTTTCCATGTCTGTTTCCATCTTCAGTGTTCTAACAGTGAACTCTGAAATTCTTTAAGTTCCTTCCTGAAAGCTTTGTCTTTCTTGGCTGTGGCTTCTCTTCTCTTCTTGGCAATTTCTGTAGTTTGCTCTGACATCCAGTTTGCTTTTTTTCTGTTTTTTTGCTCTTTGGCAGTCTCTTTTCACATTTATCCTTAACAGCTTCTTTGAGTTCATTCCACAGTTCCTCTGATTCCCTATAATGAAGTTCAGTACTTCAAAGCAATTTCTGATGCTCTCCATGAAAATGGTGAGTATATGCTCAAGATCATATTGTGGAAACCTGTTGGTATTCTTCTGCTTTAGCTTAACTTGGAAGTTGCACATGAGCAATTTGTGATCTGTTCTACAGTCAGCCCCTGGCTATGTCTTTGCTGTTTTAACTGAGCTTTTTCACCTCTTTGTATGAATAACATAGTCAATTTGATTTTTGTGTATTCCATAGGTGATCCCTATGTATATAATCATCATTTCAGTTGTTTGAAGTTAGTTAAAAATGAAGAAATCGTGGGATTGGCAGAAATTGATAAGTCATTCTCCTGCTTCACTTTGGTTTCTATACAGTCCAACTACATTTTCCTCCTTACTATTTTCAATTTTTGTATTCCAGTCTCCAACCTCAAGCAGCACGTCTTGCTTACATGTTCTCTTGATTTCAAATTGCACTTGATCATAAAACTCATCCACCTCCTCTTCCTCTGTATCAGTAGTTGGAATATAAACCTGGATAATTGTAACATTAAAAGGTTGTCCACAAAGTCTAATTGATACTATTTGGTCATTAACGCACTGTTCTTGCTACCCTTCCTAACTATAAAAGCAGTGCTGTTCCTTTTTTGTTTTCCATGTCCTGAGTCATAAACAGAATGATCTTTGACTGAAAGTGTCCAATTCAAGTCCATCTGAATTTGCCGATGCCTAACATGCTAGTGTGTGGTTGATTCATTCCACCTTCCATTGTGTTGAGCTTTCCCACTTTCCCACTTCTTAGGTTCTATGTTCCCACTGTAATTCTGTCTTTGCACTTCAGATTTTCTTTTCCTGCACAATAACATCAGCAGTTAGGTGTTCCAAAGGCTTTGTCTACCTGTGTAATAAACACTAAGCTCTTCCTCAGTAGCATGTTGAGTGCCATCCAGCCCATCATCCGGTATGGTGTCATCAGTCCTTTTATACTTTCTATCCAGTGGCTTTCTTGATAAAATACAGAAGTGGTTAACCACTGCCTTCTCCTATGCAGAGTGAAATGATGCCTTTGCCATTGTTACTAAAATGATTGTCTGCCTCAGGCATCTTCCTGTATCACTGCTGCCCAGTATAGGTACCTGGTTGTTTTAGCTGATGTCAGCCGGGATGACCTTCACGCCTTAGGTGACCCTGCTGAGATTATATACTCTTGGCATACGCTCTCAGTGTTCTTTGCCTCTCTCTCTCTCTCTCTCACACACACACACACCATGATGAGGCAGCACAGCAGGACTTGGGAAGGGGGAGCAGATCTTAGTAGCCTGTTACTAATATGTGGGCTAGCTTTTATTATTCTTTATTTTCTTGTATAGCGGTTTCTGTCTTTATGGTGTTAGCCAAATTTGGGACAGCTCTAATGGTATTTAATCTTTTACTTCTAAATGCCTTTATATTGATTTTCAGTGAGAGATGTTATATATATTGGCCCCAAATTGGAGTGTCATCAGCACACCTTAGTAAAGAAATATGCAGAGGAACCACTGGGAGGACAGACTCTGTGCCTGCTGTTTCAGTACACAAATAAGAGGTTTCTGCTTTTCTGGAATCCTAGAGAGAGTTGCGTGCTTATAACTAACCTGGAGTTGTTATGCTGTGTTGCTAGGCTGTTGGTGTAAATAAGTGCTGTATTGTGCTTATCAGCAAAAAATATTCCTGCAATGTAGAATTTCTATGGCAATTTTGTTTTTCAGTTGCAAATTCTTTACTGTTGTTCTAGGTTTATCGCAGTGGTTGTTTTCTGTAGCCTAGTATTTTTGGGTGTTGATGTTATCTTAGTAGCCTTTAAAAAAAAAAATTATAAGCAACTAGCAGAAGATCCTGATGCATGTTGAATATGTGTTTGGGTGTGTATTTGAGTTGCTTACTTTCCTGGTCTAATTTGAAAATAAATTCTGTGGTGTTATAAAAGAGGTGGCAATCTCAAAGGCTTGAGAAAAGTTCTGTTTCATATTTAAAAGAATTATCCTGTACAAAAGCAGGGAAGTTAAACTTTATTAGAAATATTTTTGTATAAAATGATCTGTATTCTGCTGTCTGATCTGTGGCAGCCTTTGCTTTATGGAGTAGATAGCCACGATCAGTTGTGTCACAAATTATTAGAATTGCAGAAGGAGCTTGATTAGATTCGTTAGTATTCATAATATATTCTTCTTAAGGAGAGGTAAGAGAGCAGGAAGAAAAGGAGGTATGGTTATAGTAGCTATAGTGTGGAACAGCTTAACACTCTGTCCAGAATTGCTGATTTGCAGCAGGCAGACTTGTGACCCAGAACTGGATTGGGTTATATTTTAAGATGCACAGTTGCCTACTGAAAAGCAGATTTCAGACATGCTTCAGATCAAGGAGCTGTCCTCAACTTCTGCTGTTTGGTTACAATTAAATGGCCTACATCTCTCCTTAGGGAATATCACAGTCTTTTTTAATGTAGTTCCATGGTGGTGGTGAAACTTAAAGGGGTACATATAAAGTTGCAGTGAAGTTGTGTGAAAAGAAGGTTGGGGGAAGAGAGATTGAAGTGAATGCTGTGTGTGATATACAGGTAAGAAGACTAAAAAATTTTGGAGTTAGTTTGTATATCTGTGCTTCTTATTTTTTCATTTTGCAGAGCCAGCTTATCGTTTCCTCACCTGACAGTGTCATCCATGAAATTATTTAAATGTTTCTCTGTTCAATGGATATAGTTGTTCCCAAACTTGCAGCAAATAAATCCCTCATATGTCATTGCATCCCTTTAAGTCTGCTTGGCATTTTTATAAGGCACTTTTCTAAAATAGATTGTGTGTTGAGCATATTGCCTTTTTGTCATGCTGTTTAGCTTTGTTGAAAGACAGAAGAAGTTCAAGAACTATTGAATAAGATGAATTCAAGACCTATTTTAGCAGTACTTGAAATTCTGTTAGTTCGACAGAGCACCAACTATTTGATCCCATTCGGAATTTTTCTTTAGAATTCTGGTGAATGTAGTGTATTTGCTTCTGATTTTGAACATTGTTAGGCAACTGACAAAGGCAAGATAATATTAGCAATGAACATGTTAATGAATTTTGAGATACTATATGTGCATGTGCTAAGGTGGCACTTGGGTTGTTATCTATCTGAAGTCCATGTAAACAAGCAGTAGAAGAAGAAAAAATAACTACTCATGCTAAAATTCAGATGAACTGTTGAGAATACTGTTACTGTTTAAATGCCTTTAATTACAAAGGTTAAACAAATACATTTTGCAGTAAAAACAACAGAAGCTTGTATACAACTACTTATCTGGAAACTGTAGTAAATTTCTCCCAGTTATGGTATTGAATATCTGTATATCTAGATCTGTAAGTCTACTAATCTAATATTGTAAAAATCAAGCTACTAATGTATTCTTAGCTATCTGGCTGGAATGGATGGAAGAATAGAAATGTTTCAAACATATTACTTTTCTTGATAGGTGACACAAAAATTGTATGTTGAAATATAGTTGAATTACAATTGTCTCTGCCCTTTCTGTGCCAACTGCACATTCCTTCAGGCACAGTGTATTTGAGATTCTTATGATCAGTACAGAGAAGTTAGGAAGACAGTGATATGTTATGGTTGGCACTCTCCTTAGGGAAATCTGTGAAAAATATGTACAAGATATTCTCTTTTTTTTTAACCCTACTATCTGTGGGTTAAATTATATTATGAATAATTCTAGTACTGTAATTTATAAGCTATTTCATGATGGTCATGTATTATCAACAAGATTGCTAGAATAATTATTATTCTAAACTGGTTGCCAAATATGAAAATGATAGCATATTCAACTGGTTGTGAGGTATCATGTCTGAAACCATGTGTTTAGCTGTTTTGCAAATTTATATACAGTGCTGAACCACAGTTAGGGCCTTCTATTCTCTTTTCTGTTAGTGAACAAAGTATATTGTTCCAACTATCCATGCATAGTTTGGTATACTGTAAGAGAATACTTTTGAAACTGAGAAGAGAGCTAAGAAAGTATTCTGAAATTTGCAGCATGATTTGCTTTGGATTTTGCCTTGTGTTGGTGGGGACTGCAATATCTTGATTTATAGTCAATTCTAATACCATTGTTTCTGTATTCAGCATCTGTAGAGGCTCACATTATAAGCTTCACTGGTAGTTTCTGCAAAGAAAGGATGGCCGATGAGGATGATTCTGCCACTGCCCAGGGATTCAGACACTGAAGTTCCTTCCCCCTCCATCCACTAGGAGGCACACTCTTTGAAGAAAGTCTTTAGTGGAGCTTAAACTCAGAAGGCATGCTAACTCCCTAGAGGCAGTCCCCCCCACCTTTTTTTTTAGTGAACAGATGCAATTTATAGCCTGAACTGTATATCCAATCCCAGTGGATCTGCAGCTCTAAATATACAAATTGGTATAAATTGAAGCATGATATTCAGTCTGCTTATTTTGGGATGGAGTGAGGAAGAGATACAGACCATGCACCTTGCTATGAAATGTGATTGGGTGCAATGACTCAATAAGAAATGGTAACTGAATTTTCTGTAGAGAACGCTAGATTATTTCAATACTCAATATAGCATTCTAATGTTTGACTTTCCTCCATTCTTATCAGAACATTCAACTCCAGCTAAAGTGGTAAAAGCAGCAAACCTACGGCAGCGGAAAGGAAGCAAGGTATGTGCTAACATGTTCTTTTATCCAATTATACCTACATTTTAGGAAAAAATGAAGACATGGTACATCAGAATGAACCTAGTTAGTTCTAGACAGCTCAAAATCTAATGTATTATTAGGGTTTTACACCACAATATGCATCCTTTTACATTTGCTCAAATTGAATCACTTCCTTAAAGTCCATTTGCAATATAACAGTCATTTTCAGTTTTTACAACCTTGAGTGGTTTAGTATAATCCATAAAGGCCAGTTGTCTGCTTTATCCCTGAGTCATTTATCAAAAGGTTAAAAACACTGCCCCAGCTTGGCTCCTTAAGGGATTCCACTTCTTTCTTCCCTCCATTGATAAAATTGCCCATTTATTCTTACTTTGTGCTTTTTGTTTTTTTAACTAGTTAGGGATTGGTAAAAGGATAGATCTTATCACATGATCACCATTTACTCAACAGCCTTTGATGAGGAACTTTGTCAAAGTTCTTTAAAAATTTAAAAATCCAAGTATGCAATGTCAGTAGGCTCATCTCAATCCATGTTTCTGTTGACACTCTCAAAAATCTCTAGAAGGTTAGTGAGACAGTATTTACCCTTCCAGAACCTGTGCTCATTTTCTATGATGTGTTTCATTATTAGCATAATGAAATAATAGCATTATTTATTTATTTATTTGTTTATGTATCAGATTTGTCACCGCCCATCTCGTGAAATGGGTGGTTTACAGCAAGATAAAAATTCATTAAAATACAACATTAAAAAAAAATCCTAAAAACAAATGGGTTCCAAGAAGATGGAGAATTGGCAAGTAATTCCAGAGAGCAGCATCAGGGGGCTAACCACCCCCTGGGACGGGTAGAGTCCATATCACCCCATGCACACTGACAGAGCCAGGTCTTTAAGCCTTTTCGGAAAGCTGGGAGGCTAGGGACCTGCTGCACCCCTGGGGGAAGAATATTCAAAGGGCGGGGGCAATGCCAGAGAAGGCTCTCTTCCTGGGTCCCATCCTAAAATCCCTCACTGACGGGATCTGCAACACGTCCTCTCTGTCTGACCAGGTAGGATGGGTTGATGTAATGCGGATGAGACGGTCCCTCAGGTAATCTGGATCCATGCCGTGTAGGGCTTTAAAGATAATAACCAACACCTTGAATTGGACCCAGAAGCAAACTGGCACCCAATGCGGCTCCTGCAGTAAAGGTGCTACATGTGCCATCCTAGGGGAACCTAATATCATCTGTGCGGCTGCATTTTGAACCAGCTGTAGCTTCTGGATACTCTTCAGGCCCCATGTAGAGTGCATTGCAATAGTCTAACCGAGAGATAACCAGGGTGTGAGTGACTGACTGGAGAGCCTCCTGATCCAAGAAGGGGTGTAACTGGCATACCACCCAAAAGTGGGCAAAGGCCGTCCTGGCCACGACTGCCACCTGCTCTTCGAGCAGTAGTCGTGAGTCCAGTAGGATCCCCAGATTATCCATCAGGTCTGTTTGGGGCAGTACAACCCGTCCTAAAGCAAAGATGGTAAGTTCTCAGATACAGAGGGGCCTGCAGTCCACAACCATTCCATCTTACCAGGGTTCAGCTGAAGCCTGTTGTTCCCCATGGAGACCCCCACAGCCTCCAGGCACCACGAAAGGGTGGTCATGGCATCACTCAAGCCACCCAGGATGGAGATGTATAACCTGGTGCCATCTGCATATTGATGATACCTCATCCCATGGTGGTGGATTATCTCACCCAGTGGTTTGATGTAGATGTTAAAAAGGAGCAGATAGAGTACTGAGCCCTGCGTCACCCCACCGTGGAGGGTTCATGGGCTGGATCTCTCACTCTGAATCATCACCAATTGGGATCAGCCTTGGAGGAAGGAAGAGAACCAGCGCAGAACTGTGCCGTCCACTCCCAACTTCCTAAGTTGACCCAAAAGGATACCATGGTCAATGGTATCGAAAGCCACTGAGAGGTCAAGAAGAGCAAGGATGGATGCACTACTTCCATCTTGCTCCTTCCAGAGATCATCCATGAGTGCGACCAATGCCGTTTCTGTCCCAGTTCCAGGCCTGAAACCTGGCTGGAAGGAGTCTGTCCAGATAATCCATTTCCTTCAGAATCCTGTGGAGCTGCAACACTACCACCTTCTCAACCACCTTCCCTAAAAAGCGGAGGTGGGAGACTGGACAAAAATTGCCCAGTGTGGTGGGATCCAGTGATGGCTTCTTGAGGAGGGGAAGCACCAGCACCTCTTTCAAGGCTGCAGGAAACACTCCCTCCCTCAGGGATGAATTCACCATCATCTGGACCCACCCACATGTCGCCTCCCGAGTAGCCAGGAGGGACATGAATCTAGTTGGCAAGTGGTGGCATTGACTGTTCGGAGGACCCTGTCCACTCCTCGGGTTCAACAGGATCAAACTTTTCCCAGATAACAGGGTAAGTCCATACCCTGGGCATCTCTACAGCCCATGCTGCACGCTTGGTATCTAACTGGGACTGGATGCGAACAATTTTATCCTCCAGATGCTGAAAAGTCCTCTGCGTGCCCCTGTAAATGGGCCACTGGGCCCCCCTTTCCCAAAAAGGGAAAAATTATAATAATATATAGTAATAATAGCATAATAGTTTCATTATAGCACTGAAGATATAGAAGATATCTTCTATATAGATATAGATACTAGAACCAAAAGTTGCTACTGAAGAGAACCAAGTTCCTTGGAAAATAACTAAAATCGATTTTAAGGTGGACTTAAAAATTATAATCTATAAGAAAGAGATGGAAATACTGGATTTACAAATGAAACTGGATGATTGTTTGAAAATTAAAACATATATACAAATAATATGCCAAAAGAAGGATGTGGATTACCCATTTAAATTGGAATTAAGAGACTAACATTGAAAATACATATGGATGACAAGGATTTCGAGAGAAGAGACTAGAATAATAGTAGGCAGATGTTTGAACTTTATCTGTGGGATTCAAGGATTGATGGGAAGAAGAAAAAATATAAAACTGGATTATTTGATTATGGTTAGTTAATGGCTTGTTATTTTTGGTAATGCTTAATGGTTACTTTGACTTGATAACTCTTTTTTGGAATGTCCAATTGGGTGTAATGTGTTTGTAACATCTGTGTTGTTGTTTTTGGTATACGAATATGGGATTATTATTTTTGGCAATGTTTAATAGTTTTTTTTGGGGGGGTTGCAATTTTTTTATTGTGAATTGGATTTAACAATTATGGATTGTTAATGGATTATGGGTTTTTGTAGTGTTTAATTGTCAATTGGGATGATATTTTGATTATTAAGAGAATGATTGGGGAATTATGTTTAAATGGAAAGGGGGACTAAATGCTTATGTTCCTAATTACACCTGTTAATCTTTATACCTTTTGTTGATTAATAAGGAGACCTGAGGATTTAGAGATGGGTTTATAGAAAATGGGGTGAAGTATGGAAATAAGAAGTATTTGGTAGTATTTTAAGAGGCAGTGATAAGTTGTTAATGTTGTATAGACTTGCTGGGGATGAAAGGGGAAGTTTCTTCTTACAACTTCTTTTTGGGTGGGATTTCTTTTTCTTTGCACTCTCCTTTTTTAAAATCTATTTTGTATTTGACTTTTGTATTAGTTTTATCTGTTTTATATAATCTTCAATAAAAATTATTAAAAAGAAGAAAAAGATACAGCACTGAAGATGTTACTGTGGGTAATGAAACGTCTGCAAGAAACCAACCAAGCCCAGAGAACCCCAAGGACTCTACAGTTCGGCCATGAGCTACTTATATTCTCCTCTATTGGTACCACATACAGGCATCAAATGCTTCAGAAAGCATGCAAATGGGAGAAATTTGCATGTAAGCAAACCTCCACCAAGGAACAATTATTCTTTCTACACGAATGCCTACGACAGCATACCCTGCCCACCAGTGTCAGATACAAACCTCCAATAAACTGCACAGCTGGATGGAAAATAGCTCAACAAAGTGGCTGAAAAATGATACAACTAATGATCATGGATGCTCACCTCAGACTAAACAAATACCAGCACACCATAGAC